CTAACACCCTACCGAAATGCAAAGATTAGATTCACCTTTACCGGGCTATTATTTCAGGATGTCTAAATATGGAGGTATCCCTGCATCAATTACAAGTTTCATACCTTCAAGCTTTTCATCACAAACACAAGTCTAGAAACTTCAGCATACATAACTGGCAGAAACTCCAGAAGTGAGCAATTAAAAGATACCAGAACCCAAACATCTCCCAAAGGAGGATCATTTTGTCTGATTGCCATCATCTAGCACAACTTTGCACCCTAAAGTACACAACATTATGAATAACTATTAAAAATTATAATAACATACAAAATTAAAAATTATTCACTGCCAGTGTGCAGGTTTGATTGCAATACTGAAAGACTATTTCGAGTGCTACAAAGTATTGTTAGGATTACAACGACTACTCAACATATCATTTACTTACAGAAATCTGCATCATGTGCCATAGCAATGACCAGCCCATACTCTCTCTATGGATTTCAACATCTTACTCCACCATTACTTCAGAAAATACCAAAACCAATTTTTTCTCCATTCTGTAATATTGCAACTCGACAGCAAACATACTACACGGTGCTGTCTTTTGAAAGCCTGAAGATGGATTTACATTCACCAGACTTAAAACAACCTTTCTAGTGGCCACCCATCAGATAGTCACGTAGTGGGGAGCTTTGAATGCCTTTGTGTGGGATCTCATTCTCATGTTGCAGCAGGTATTTAAAGAGCAAGAACCTTTTCTTTCCAAAGGAATTTTGATGTCCAACTCCCTTTGAAGCTTCCCTTCCTATGTATCTTTGAAAATCTGATCTTCAATTTGTTATCCATTTTCCCTTCCCGCTTGATATGAAAATGCCTTCTCTTCTTCCTTCTGAACACTCAAAAATGAGGGCAGAAGCAGCTCCATACTCCCAGTGTGAATGAAGTGTAGTTGCTTGAAAAACCACGGCTTCTCTCAATCTTCATCTATTCTTTTCCATTCCAGTTGCATAAAACATCATCATGATGGGCCACAGGCTTCTGTTTCTCACTGTATGTAATCCATCAGAACTGATTTACATTCCTTAGATAAAAGTAAAAATCACTGTAGGCAGAAACTGGATGCAGTTGTCCGCTATGGAAAACAGCTTTGCTACTCCTTTCAAATTTATTGATCACTCACAGCCTTTCCCCTCTAAAGTATATCTACCGAAGTGGACACTGTTGTTGGAACAGCCACTAGCTGTCTGATAAAACTTAACGAATGGCAATTTTCTTAGCTTCTGTTGTTATTGTTTCTTTAACTCCTTCAGTATGAACCCATCACAGCAATTTGCTGACAAAGGAAGATTAGAGATAAGGCATGACTATGAACATTACTTCAATTCTCTTTTTTTTTTTCTAACAGGTTTTCTTAGGCAAGTCATACAGGGCCAAATTTTTAATGGTGTCCAGTGTCTGTTGTTCCCTACAACAGAGGGCATTTTGTGGAAAAACACTTAAAGAGATCACAGAAAACTCAAATACTGCAGTATTTATATCATCAGCACCATCTTGGCATGCCAGAACTGATTTTTCTGAGCGTCTTTAGCCAGATATTTTAGTGTTACTCCCCTGCATTTGTTCCTGGGATATTTCTGACTGGTCAGGGTCTATAATTTCCTTGTTACTTCCCCATCACTGGTTTGAAGACCATGCTGCCCGGCCCGGGGAAGAGGAAAAAAAAAACAAACACCAGCAGAGTAATTACTTCTTATTAGCTAAGATTTTTTTTTTTCTTTAATCAAGATGTTAAGGAAATGCTACTTTTCCCCTCACCACACATACATCCAGAGCTATGAAGACTGTCTCATGATCTACAACAAACTTAAAATAGTGCTTGTTCTACAGAAATAATTATGCTCTAAAAGAATTCCGTAGAGGAATTGCTATCTGAGACAAGAAGTAGTAAATCTGACTTGTTTAAAAATGTTTAGTTAGAAGGAAATAAATAGCAGTCACCCAAAACCCCCTGAATTTCTTCAGCTGCAGTCCTCGGCCAGCACTACCTGCTCAGTTCTGCACTACAGCTATTTTTCTCTACCAAAGTGAAATTAAGCACACAAAGAGTTATTATATCAAAGCTGCACGCAGAGATTAAACTCAGACTCAATCACACAACTAAATCCCCATTCAGTGCTTTGAAAATTTACCACTAAGTGTGAAGCTAAAAATACTAGCTGATAACAGTGAGATATATTCCAACCACATCCTCTTGTAGAACAACATCAATAAGAGACAAGTCTGAAAATGTGCCTTAGAGGAATTAATGAACATTTGTTTGAAACGGGGCCATTTCACTTTGGGACAGGTTTTTTTTTTTCTTCTTTTTTTTTTCCTCCCCCTCATCTAGTGAACATATCCTGCACTTTGGGGTATGGAAATTTGCCTAAATCACACCCATAGTCAAATCAAATTTAACATACCTTTACAAGATATTTATGACATGTGAATACCTGGAGGCCCTGTTTCTCATTCACATGAAGGTCCCTTATGCCAGAAAAGGAGGGCTTTTTCATGTTAGTGAGAATGAGCGTGTAGTAGATTAGACGTTGGTTTCACATATTATATTTAACATGTGAAGCTTCAGCAACCCACACCTTCACTCCCCGTGCAACAAGCAAGCAAACCACACTGCAGCATTTTAAGAAAGGTGTCTGGCAAGCCCTTACAACTGCATCCTTACAATCTGCCACTTGTGTCTCAGCAGGATTCTGCTTCAAGAATCTCAGAAAAAAATAATTTTACTGCACCTTTCATTAAAAAAAAACAAGAAACCCTTGCCTCATTCACTCCATTTTTTCTTAAGCCTGTTTAGCAGCTCAAGGAACCCAAACCAAACATTTTCTCAAGATAAAACAGCAAAAATTCCACTTTCAGATTCTTAGGCAGCTGCTTCACTCACAAATTCTGTCTCTTGGCACGCATCTAATTCAGAAATAAATTATTCAATTATGTTTGTTTCACAAACTTTTCCTTATTTGTCACTTAAGAGCAATCAGAGACAGGAATTTTCAATTTAGAAAGTTTAGATGAGAATTGCCAAGCACACGCTATTTCTCAGGACGCTTTCTGGACAACATCTGAAAATGCATGCTGAGCGCCCACGCCTGCGGCGCCCACCGCAGCCACCCAAACCTGCGGGGGTCTGTGTGCTAGGGCTTAGCAACCAGTCTGCAGTGCTGAGGAGGGTCATGTCACCTGAGGGAAAATTGCAAACAAAAGAAAACCATTTGGCTTCATCTCAGAAGGTAAACGTGTATTGCAAGTTATAGTTTTCTGGGTAGAATTCAAACAAAATTAATATGCCTGAGCTTTAAAATTCTAATGTCAGATAAATAAGTTACCGTGATTTAATTTACTTTCTCTGATAAACTCTGATACCTACCTAGAAGTTGGGATATTATTTCCAAAATTATTTTCTACTTGAGGTCAGTGCATGAATAGAAACAATACATAGCTAATTTCCTGACAAAGTAATATTAAGCACCCCATTTTTCAGAGTGTATGCCTGCACACAACAACTACTTAGAAGAAAAAGTCAAGCCAGATGGTGAGTGTCTTTCAGTGTTTCAAGGAACACTCCCTATTTTTGTGCTACTAAAGAACCTTCAGGTTACATGGAAGGTACAAAAGCTGGTGAAGTTTACAGCAAAGGCTTCCGTGAGCAAGAGGAATTTTAATTTGAAAGTGTTGAGCAATTTTATCCTCTACCAATAACCAGTATATACCTGATAATATGATATAAAAATATAATAATGTACTTGGGCATGAAAAAGAAAGACAACTCATTTGTGGACATGAAGTACTTTTCTGCTTAAACTACATTAAGACATTAAGCACTTCATTTATTCTTTAAAAATTCTTTTTTTTTCAAATGGCTTAAAATTTGATTGCAGCAATACTTTTACAGTGATAGCAAAAAGTAAATTATATACAACTCTGGCACAAACGCCTGTTAATCTGATAACCCATAAACCCTCCCCACTACAGAGGACTCCAATTAGAATGAATAACAGAGATGTTTGGGGAATTGAGGGGGGCGACATCTGTTTGATTGACATGTGCCTTTCCTGGAAGAATGCAATGCATGTCCATAATCCTAAACAGTCTGACAGCACTAATATGACCCAGTTCTTAGGGGAAAAAAAGGCATATCTTTGCTGCAAAAGTTATTAAGCTGTACGTTTATATTGAAAAGTATTATTTGAAGATGTGCGATTCTATTTTCTAGTAATGTATTAAAATCTCTGTCCACATAGCTAGCCAAACGTCATATACGATCTTTCCTAGCATTGCCATAGAAATGTTACAGGAAAGAGTATTTTTCACTGCTTATTATATAAACTCTTCTGTGTTTCATTATATGTCCTTACTGGCAAAGCTGTTAGCTTGTTCTGCTGTTAGTATTCGACTGAGAACAAACATAACTTATCAACTGGCTGACCGCTTCTTGAAAAATAAGTATCAGCTTACCCCATTGAATTACTACACCTGTTTGAATTTTGGCCACTCCATCAGAGCAGCAAGCTAGCCTGAGGAAATTTCAACACTCAGTTTTATTAGCCTACTTGACAAAACTTTCATAGCCTTAGGAGCTTGCAAAAAGTGAGAACATAAAGAAATACTGAAATAGTGAAAAAGACGGAAAGATTGCCTTTTGTATTTCGACAACTGTAAACACTTTCTTTTTTGTCATCACTAAACTACCTTTCTGGGGGTTTTGAGGGTTTTTTTTAAGCTCTGCTCACTCTATTCAAACTCCATGAAAGGAACATAAACCTGGAATGAAAGCTATTGCTGAAACTTGATAATAGTAACTACTGATAAACATTGAACATCAGTTCTATACACCGCATTACATAAACACATATCACCTAAAATAGTACAACATTTTCTCTATATGGCTTACAGACTGCCAGAACACCAATGCAACAAGGAGAAACAACAAACTATGAAACACTAAAAAAATGGTGGCTCACCTTCTGTGCCATTGGGTGTCATGGAATTATTATTTATATGAGAGTTATCAAGTTTTGGACCACTGGGGGATTCACTACTACCACTTAGTCGGCTATGTGGGCTGGCTAGATCCTGCATTTCCATAGACCTGAAAATAAGATGCAACTAGTTTTAGTGACATATTCAACCTGGATTACAGAGGAATTACCTACATGAGATGCAGCCTGCTATTAATCAACATCCCAAAAACACTCAGTAAAAAATGAACAGCTTCTCTCAACTTGATCTTTTCTACTGCTAAATTCATTTTGTAGCCCCGCACACATGACTGACCAGCTACCGTAATTATTTTTGCAGCTTCTAACAGAATAAAATTTAGATACGAAGTACTGTACTTTAAACATTCATTTCACCTTGTATTTTTAAGATACATACAAAGACAGAATCACCAATATATGAAGACATATATTCTCTTAACAACAAATTAACACTCTGCTTTTTCAAGATTTACCACTCAGTGGCAATATAATGGGCCTCCAAACCAAATAAAACACTTGAAGCAATTGTGGAAACCTATCATCTACTGACAGGGAATGAGATATTCCTGATGTATGTGTTTACTCTGGCAAACTACTTAATTGTTCCTCTGTTTCCGTTGAAACAAATGCAGCATTAAAACATTATTATGTCTGCTCACTTGTTTGCTTTGTGGATTACATAAAGCGTGCCCAATTGAAAAGGGATATGACCAACATACAGTGAATCCATATAGGCGTTAGTATGCCTTAGCACTCTGTCGTATCTCAGCAGCTGTCACTTAGTCAAAATAAGAAGAGAGCAATTCCGATTCAAAGCAAAAATTAAACGTTTATACAGCACACAAGCAGCTGAATATTTCCAATCTGCATTTTTAATAGCCTTATACAAAACAGCTAACAGCCATCACCACCATGACATATTCCTTGGTTGATGATGAGGAAGCTCATGATTGAAGTGCCCCATCTTTCCGTTTCTTTATACCTAAAACTTTTGATAATGTTATTTGATGTACTCAGTCTAAGCAATTGCTCCCAGCAGAAATTTCATAGGTTGCTCTGCCTCCAAGGCATTTGAACCAGTAATTTTTCGGTTTAAAAGAAATGCTTAGGCTCTTTTAAAGACTATTAAAATTATATAAAAAATTCTTCCCACAGTAATGCTATAAATACCCTTAAGCATAAGTGTCATTTCAGCTGTGAGGTTTTCACATTTTAACTGAGATTTTATCACAAGTTCCAAACACAAATCCTTCACTTTATATTTCATTACCTAAACCAATCTACACATAAAAAAGGACGATATCGCAATGAGTGTGAAAAGCCAGTATCCAACATAAAGTCAGACAATTTAGTGAAAAAGTGTACGTGCTCGTGGTTTACAGACTTGGTTGCACGCACATAAAAGCAACGCTCCAGCACTTACTCATCTGCTTAATGCGGAAAACAAGAATAAATACTTACTTATCAACTGAAGTTAAAAAAATGAATAAAAGGCTTGCAGAAAAATAGCAATTTTCAATCAAATCCTTACCTGCAGCTTGAGGAAACAGCAACATCTGAACTGGTTTGAGACTTCTGCACCTGTAAACCAGGGAAACAAACAGAAGCCTCTATTACTCCGCTTTACTACGAGGCCTTAATTTAAAGAAAGGAGATCACCGCGGATGACAATTCTGTCCTTTAAACCCCAAAGGAGAGGAGGAGGGCGCGGTGCCCGTGAAAGGCATATTGTCTTTAAATTGAAGGCTCAACTGTTGTTTCCTCGGCAGGTCTCTCTCCCTCCTCCCCGCGCCGGGGGACGGCGGCCAAGTGACGGGATAGTGATTCATCAGGGGCCCGTGACAGCTGCAGAGGGGCTCACTCCTCCCACAGCACGGCACGGCACGGCCGCGCACCCCCGCGAAGGTAACCCCACCATGCCGCCCCGCCAAGGGCAGCGGGAGCCGCGGGGCCGCTCCAGCCCCGAGCCCCCCAGCATCCTCCACCCCTCTCGCCTCTTGTTGCCGGTCGGGTTATCTCTCCCTCCCATCCCCTTAACTCTTGACAGCTTCTTGCCCTCATCACATTGGCTTTCCTCATCCTCCGCTCTTCGCCATCCTTCCTCCGTGCCTGGGCAGCGGGGAACCCACCAGTAGCTCGCTCCAAAGGTGAGAGGCGAAGCAAGCCGGAGAGGCTGACACTATTTTTGCGGGGGGGGGAGACAACAAGGGGCAGGTCTACCTATGGCAAAGATCTTCAATATATGACCAACAGTATTACACAGCCATCTCCAAAACAAGCCCATCTCCAACTAAGGCAAATCAAAATAAAAACCCCACACATTATTGCACAAGGTCTTACTCGTAAAAATTCCGGTCGCTAATGAGATTTCTGATAAAATGACTTAAAAGAACACTTCTGGCTAAATAAATAGGAGGAAGCTGTAGCGTTTACCTCTGAGGTCACTCATCAAGAAAAGGAATCTGGTTCCACAGGGAAGCCCAGCAATAACTTTCCAGTTTAATAAAACAACTCCTTTAACAACTCAGGTGAGTAATAGATTTTTCATATCCTAATAGAAAACCACTGTTGCTTTGCTAACAGACTCTTCTCTGTAGCCAGTAACAATTGTCAGCAGGTGATAAAATTCAGGTGAAGATACGCTGCTAGACACTGTTAGCTTAAAAGCACACAAAAGCTTCTCTGGGCAAGGTATATATCCTCTTAATGTCTGCACTGAGAATCCTTCATGTGCGTTTCCATTCAACCTGAACCGACATCTCTTAAATAATCACAGAGCAAAGACAAGAGAGATGAGGCATTTTAAGTGCCATAAAAATCATCCAAGCAAATCCTACTTGTGTGTCTGTAGGTTTGTTGGGGTTTTTTTTTGTTATTTTTAATCACAGACAGAATTACTACTAGCAAGAGTAAACAACTGCTAGGGGCAGCCAGGCAACGCAGAACATTACAAATGATGTCAAGAAGCATGCAATGATGCACTCTGAAAAACATCAATCTTTTTATAACTGGGTACTTAAAGTACTGTATAATGTGCTTTTCAATACATTGTCGCATGCCAAATCAAACCAGGCGAGCAGATACATTCAAAACTGTGCATTTTGTTGTAATTTTTTTTTTCAGTTCTTTACCCCAGAAACTGCAGCAGAGTGCCTTAGGATATGTTTCTGCTGTTACTTCTAAACACCTGGAAAAAATTATAGGTGAGAACTAAGTTTGCTTACAGAGATATCTTCACTCCCTCTTGCACAGGATCCTTTAAAACATCTTTTATAATAGGAAAAAACTTCCCTTTTCAAATAGATGCTTTAATTAACTGATACTTTCAAAAGTGCCCTATTCATACTTCACTAAACTCTAAAATACAATTAATCCTCACTATTTTATTTACCCAAATTAAAAAAATAATAACTTCCATACACTTACAAATATATATGTATATGTGCACGTGTGTGCATAGTGAGAGAGATTTCATTTAAGGATTCATGGGAGAAGAAAAAAAAAATCCAGCTCATTCATAGTGAATTAAATATATACTGTATATGTCCTCTAACACTCTATGATTTGTGCAAGTTCATATTCACAATCTTCATTTTCATTAGACATACTTTAGATATATTCCTTTGTGTCTCAAGGATTATTTAAACCATGTGTTGCACGTTACCATATTTAAAAATGACTCTTTAATCAAAATAACTTTAAAACAACTAATCCTCACTTAGGCTGGTCAGCTGAATCCACAGAGTGGTCCAGGAAAAATAAATCTGCTCTCAAGAATGCGAATGCAGACAACAATTAGACACAGATGTGAGTGAAATTAGTTACAGTTTACAAAATGCTACACTTCACATGCTTTCAGTTTTTTATGTGTAGTACAAAATTACAACGTAGTAAGGAACCACACTTATGACGACTAGTTCATAGAATAAAAACATTTCTGGGTGGCGTGTGCTTGCTCTCATACATTCTCCCATTTTGCCAACAGATTTCTGGATAATTGAAGTTCTGCAACATAACTCACATATCAAACAAAAAGTGAAAAAAAAATGCAATGGCCTTATTACCCGGCCGGCCAAAGGGGCACATTAAAAAAAAAAAAAAAAAAACCAAAAAACAAAAAGAGAAAAAAGGAGCTGTCACTCACCCTTCATACTCTGCGCTCTGCTTAAACTAACAATGCCTTATATCGAAAATGACATACATATTCTCCTTAATACCTCAAAAATATTACTGTGTATAATTTGATTGTTGTAAATAACGTTCACATTCATTCTCTTTAACACGGATTGCGGATCAGGGCACTATATAGTACATGGCGAGGAAAAAAGGACAATGATAGCAAAGCTACTTGAAATTCATCCATTTAAGAATCTTAAATCAGTAACATCAAATTCTGATTAGTTAATGAGGTCTTTTAAGTTTGCCTTTTTTCTAATTAAATTTATAATTCTTCACAGATGTAGGTTTTGTTGATGTTCAATTTGTCTCTCTCATTTTGTTAAACCTCACATAGTACTCCACCAATCCATTGAATAGCCACATTAAATCTGTTAATACCATGCTCTTCAACCCCAGAAATTATTTCCAGAAGGCAAACTTGCTTTGAGAGATCATCAAACAAGACTTAAGGTACACATTTTATCACATTTTCCCTACCACAGAGCTCAGGATGCGGAGGAAAATTCATGACTTTTGCACTGTTTATTATACTTTGCTAAATTACAAATCAAAAGCATCTGACAGAATATCATGTATGAAGCCAAAAAGTTAATAATGTTCTGTGAAAAGTAAACTGTAAATGGGAAGGGATTCTAAATTTCAGCAGCACAGAGCAAATAAAATGTAGGTACTTGTCTAAATTACAGGTTTTCCACAGTATTTTTGCTTGCTAGGAGCAATTTTTTTTTTTAATGGCTATAATTTAAAACATTTTTCCAGCTGAAAAGAAATTTTCTAAGTGAAAATAAGAAGGTAACCCAGAAAACTATAGCCAGCACATGCGCTTTTTCTTAAAACAGTTCTACTTTAAAGAAGCAAATTTCAAAGACAATGGCAATTTTCAAATCAGAGTGTTCCTCCTTTGGAAAAAAAAAAAAAAACAATCTG